GAACAACGCGATTTCATCGTCGAGCAATATTTGGAGCTATATTCATTCAATCTTTTGTGGTTATCGTTATCAGACGTTAAAAAGTCAAAATCTATCTCAATATTCATTTGACACCTTTAATTTGTAATTAAATTGGGTTTTAGTTTACCAACCAGTTTTATTTAACTTTTTTAAACCTAGAAAGATTTTACAATTAAAAACTTTTCTTTTATAAGAGTTGTGACTCATATGATCTAAGTCTTAAATGTATGTACTCAAATTCATATTTTATATACGTTTTGGACATCTATCCGTTGTTAGTATTCAATTTCTGATCTTCTAATAAGGAGCATGTGTTGGCAACTGCTTTTTCGAATTGTCACCCACTTAAACATTATAACCGGTGACTAATGGTAGAAATTTAATATTGTCAAAAATATATCGTGATATTTTTGCAATTAATCTAATTTCTAAATTGGTGTCAATATTTTTGTTATCCAAATAAAATTTAGAAACACTAACAATGATATCGCATTCAATAATTATCGCTTGGTTTAATATTCACGATATTGTCATATTCGATACACCTCTGTATTATCGGCTACCTGTGACCTGTGTAATTCAGAACCTGGCAATGTTCTACTTGTTATCAAACTTGGCTTCATTAATAACCGATAAGTAGTAATTTTTAATCATGTTTAAGATATTTTAAGATAAGGAATAATAATGTTTAGTTTGAGAATTTAAAATTCGTTATCAAAAAGATGTGAACAATTAATTATTATTATTAATAATAATAATAATAGTTGAAATTAAATTGTTTTAGTATTTGAATTTTATAAATTTAAAAGCCTTGAAATTGAAATGCCGTTTGAACGAATAAGAATAAACAGAATTGTCCCGCCGTACAATTGCAAAGTAAGTTAAGTATGCAGTAAATTAAGTTAAGTTAGAAGCCTTCAAATCGAAGTGCCGTTTGAACGAATAAGAATACACGTCCCCAATGCAATTGCAATGTTAAGTATGTAGTATATTCAGTTAAATTTTAAACGGACAATAGTTTAACGTTAAACTTTACTATAAGTTATTAAACTCTTAACTTACGTGTTAAATTTTTTTGAATGTTACGAATTCAATTTGAAAATATAAAACCTTTTATTGATTAGTTCAAGTGTCAAGCCTTTTTAAGTTGGTTCCTACAAAAAATTATTCACCCTGTGTCATATATTTTCTTTCTGATTAACAATGAACATTTTACCAGCCTTTGTGATTTAAATAATTATTTTAATGGAAAACATTAGTTGATTATTAATTTCATATGAAAAATTTCAAACAATACTTACAAATACGTAAAAGAGCTCTATACACTGATTCATAAAATGATATTGTCAGCAAATGACTATTTAAACCAGATTGCGTATTTTTCTCGAAATTGCTAATATAGAATAATAGCATTCATTTTTATAAAATTATCAGGGTTCTAAAAATTCGGTTTAGCTTGCATCTGAGACAATAGATCTAATCAATATAAAAACACTTTAATAATGAAAATGAAACAAAAACTTTTCTTATTGCATCATTCTATTCATTTGACCTTATGAACATTTAAGGAGACTCCCATTGATTTTATGGGAAAATTTTATGAGAATTAATTTAGAAAAGAAAAATTAGCCAGGAGTTAAAATCAAGAAGAAATTTATTTTTGTATTCTTTGCACGATAAATATAAATTAGTTCGTTTTTAATATCTTTAAGAACTGCAAAATAGTGATTTTTGTAGTGATTTTGAACTACAGAGTTAAAAAATATTTTAAAATTTTACATTTTAAACTTAGTAATTAAAATAATAATATTGCCATTAAGAAAATGTTAGCTTTATATAAGAGGTTAAAAATTAAAATTAGCCATATACAATTTCTTTACTTAATTATCAGTCCTAAATTTCATAAAATTCCGATAAAATTTAGAACAATCACACGTTGATCTAATGCTTATCTAACTAAACCTGGTACCATTTTCTCTAACTACTTGAATAACATTATTAACAGTATTGTTAAAGAAGGTTTTTCTTGGATTATCACTAATAAGCAACCGATTTTAGAATTTATTAAACATAATAAAATTAATTCTATTGCGAATTTTGATTTCCAGGATCTTTTTAAAAGCGTTCCCGTTTCTGAACTAAAAGATGTTCTTTTGAATTATTACTATGATTTTTAAAATATCCTTAATTGCGACTTTGATTATTGGGAAATTCTAATTAATTTTTGTCTTTTTAATAATTATCGTTACAATGGAAAAAATATTTTTCTTCAAATTGATGAAATACTACAAGGATCTAATTTTTTGTCGCTCTTAGCTAACTTATTTTTGCATTATTATGAAAAAAATTATACTCTTAATACTAAATTTGTTTTTAGACTTATTGATGATTTAATTATCTTTAATTTTCAAGATTATACTATTTTATTAAATAATATTTGCCCCGAGGAATTAATTTTACTCCGTAATCATGATGATAATATTAATTAAAATTTTTTGGATTTGGATATTACGAAAGAATCTATGATAATCTGCTTTGTTGATTTATACGATAAAAGAAATTATTTTAATTTTAATATAAATAAACCAATTGCTTGGAATTCTAATGTTTCTAATAAAATCTATTTAAATACCATTTTTAATCAAATGAATAAATTAAAAGAATATGTAGTAATGTTTATTTATCCAAAAAGCAAATAGACTAACTCTTTCAAAATTTGATAAAAAAATAATGGATACCCAACTAAGTAATTAAATTCTATGTAAAATCATTGAGTTAATTGTATATTATTGTAAATAAATTTACTAAGTAACTTCTTTGTTAATTTATATAATTTTTACCACGTGCAAATCCATTTCGGGCAAATCTATGGCTAAAATTATGTACAAAACAGGCAATTCACGATTCTTTCTCTTTTCTATTTTTTTCAAATAAAAGTTAATTTTCTAAAAATATTAATTGTCAACTTCTTTAAATTATCCAATATAACATTACCTCGCTCATATCTATTTTAGGATCCATCCTTGGTTACTAACAAATAAACGCACTTCAGTAATGAAGTAAGAACGCTCCATAAAACAGAACACCTCTATTTACGCTTTTACCTCAATTTTCGCTTCTGTTTTCATATTTTGTAATCTGGCAATCTTGTTACGAAGATATTTTAAATCATTCATGAAAAATGTCCTGTTCATGTATGTTCATTTGGATTCGCAATTCGCTTCATAGATTTCGTTTTATGTTAAATTCTGTTTTTTCCTTATATTTTACATTTCTGTTTTAACGTGATATTTTTACTTTATGTGTTCTATTTTATTTTTTGTAAATTCTTTTTTGAGTGCTCCTCACACTATTGTATTGATATATTTTGCTTTGGCTATATTGATACAATATTAGAAAGCACTCCTTTTTTCATAATCGTGTGAGCTGATGAAAAGATTATATACTTTATTTTCCGGATTTTTATAAATATTTTTTCCTTTATCGAACTTTTTTTCCTGATTTTTATTATTTTTATTATTATTTTTCTTTTTCCCTTTTTTCATTGTTTTGTAATTTTTCTATGTTTTTTCTACATTTTGAACCTGTGCAAGTAGAGAGCAGTACGGGTCTGCGTGGATCGCATAAATGGTTTGCGAACACTCCATTTCCTTCCACATACCTCTGGTTACAGCAAACAGACTTTAAAAAGTTGTTATCCTTTCTGATCATTCTTTGCTTTTGATAGAGTGTGATTCTAGTTATCAACGGTATTTTCGTTTTTCAGCTAGATTTCACTATTTTCGTAGTGTATGTCGGATTAAGTTTTGGAGTATCTTTACCAGCAGTTTGAAATTGGTTTATTGAAATATTTGTTTTAATTTGCTTTATGCGCTAAAATATTTTAATTCAAAATGTTTCTACGGAAATTAAATCTGGACGTATCATATGCCAAAACTGACATATTCAAATATACGAGGGTTGTAAATTAAATAGTGGCAACTTAACCTTTAAACTCACAGAAGGACGGGTATGCGCAAATTAGATATGGGAGCTGTGAGGTGGGGCTGTTGTCGATGTGTAGAGTGCAAAAAACAGTCGATTTGCTTAGAAGGGTAGTTGTTGTGTGGCGTTAAAGTGAGGAGTTTCGTTTCCATCGCTCTAAAGCATGTTTTCACAAGGTGATCAGCGGTCGTGGCTTACAATCGAGGTTACCCGTGGCAAAAATGCAACAGAATGCTATCGAGGATTAGTGGAAGCTTTGGAGCAAATGCTTTACCATATAGGACAGTAGCACGATGGATTCAAGCATCTCGTCTTTTTTCGTCATTAAGCCTTTTCACAGCATGCTTTAGAGCGATGGAAACGAAACGCCTCACTTTAACGCCACGCAACAACTACCCTTCTAAGCAAATCGACTGCTGCAAATCGACGGATCTACACATCGACAACAGCGCCACCTCACCTCTCCCTTACCCTATTTACGCATGCGCGCCCTTTTGTGAGTTTCAAGGTTAAGTTGCCACTATTTAATTTACAACCCTCGTAGATTGATCAGCAATTTTTAAGACATTGTTAAATAATATGATTCNCTCCCATACCCTATTTGCGCATGCCCGTCCTTCTGTGAGTTTCAAGGTTAAGTTGCCACTATTTAATTTACAACCCTCGTAGATTGATCAGCAATTTTTAAGACATTGTTAAATAATATGATTCGTTTTTAAATTTCTAATAAAATATTGAGCATAACGTAATTAATTAAATTTTCAATTCTTGATTATCAGAGTAATAAAAAATTTGTAAATCTAATTAACTTCTTAAGTTCCTGATAAATAATTGTTTCTATTATTTCTTCTTCTTTGAGTCTAAGCTTGCGCCAATAAAGCTTCAATTAATACTGATTAGCCACTTATTGCTACTCGATTAAGGAAATATGACTAGTTAACTTAAACAATCAACTAAAACTATTAAATGATAACCCTATATTGATAAGGAGAAAATTAGAAAAAAAAATGGTTTTATTTCTTTAAAGTAAGTGCTCAGAAATGAATAGTACTAATAAACAATGTAAAGATGAAATGCGTCATGGTAATAAAAGCTTGTGAGAATATTATTTAACTGTCATTTTCACCATTCGCCAATTTCAAAAGATCTTTCGTTATCCAGCCCAGTTTCTTTGAACTCTGAGATGTAGAATCTAGCGACTCGTGTCCTGATGCCAGCGATGGTGGTATGAACAACTTTTTGCTAAAGTCGCTATGTCTTGGGTCTAAGTTGGATGGTCTTGAATTGGCGTCCAAAGCTAAGTGCGTTTGCTTGTCTGTTGTCACCAGTTTCTCAGGAGTCGACCAATGTTTCGTAAAAGCTTCGGACAGCTCGTCGTCCTCTTCATTCGGACTCTTGACCATGGTGTCAGCCTCAACGTAACCATCAAACTCCTGTTCTGCCCTCAAGTAGTTCACAGTCGGGCCACCAAAGGAAAGCGCATCTTTTTGTGAATCGCTATTTGATGGACAACACGGGACGGTTGATACAGCGTCGCTTTGGCAGTTTTTCGAGCATATAACACCTGATTCATCTCGGACAAAGTAAGCTATTTGTGTTGGGATGGCTGGATAGTGTGGCCTAGGTGTAGTGGATTTGGAACCTCGTCTTGCTTCTCCGCAGCATTTAAAGAAGTAAAAGCAGCAATGGTAATTTTGGTCTTGGTTGTTGGTGAAGCAGGTAGAGCAGAAATAAGACTTGCTGAAGTCGTAAGGATCTAAGGTGAATCCGAGCGAGATTTGAACAAAAGTGAAAATGAGGTGAACAGAAGTTCTCATTTTTTTTTGGGCTTGGTTTGGTGTTGCAAATTTGGTTTCTATCCTTTTTCCTTGTAAATTCTAATTTACAATCAGAACTGAAAAAAAAAAGAAATTTTTAATTGCTTAAAAATGCATTGAAAAATTTAAACTGATGCAGAAGATTGTAATTTTAACTTGTCTTTCTTTTTGTTTAACTAAAAATGGCTTATTTGAAATTTTCAGACTAAAACAAGCTAGGACACTTAAGGATAAAGTGAGGACAAAAGGGTTTACTAAGGTCACTGAAGAGGCTTTTTTCCCTAGGGAGTAGAAAGATAAAAAACATATGTATTTACATTTACATGTTATCCGTGTTTTGAAATTTTTAGTTAGCTTAACTGATTATGAGTAAATTTTGTGAAACAAAATGTCCTATTGCCAATGATGTGACAGACGCGACAACTTCATATCAAGCAAAGATGCATGGTGGTCTGGAATGAATAAAAGCTGGCTGAAAATCTAAGCGTTTTGATAAACTAAATATCATGTAATTCGTTTGGTTTTGGAGAGTCACTAATGAAAGATATAATGTCAGATATGCAAAAATTATTGTGGTTAATCCAGTTTGTAGGTGAAAAAGTAAATTTCGATATTCGTAACATTTCAATAAATGAGAATCTAGTTATTCGGTATTTGCGATTGCGATTAATATAAAGGCAATTAATAAGCATTTAAATGCGGATATGGGAGTTTTTAATGAAATAAATTTAAAATTCTTAAGTTTGAAATTTGGAAACAATTGGCATTGAAAAATGTAAATTTTTTTTATAGAGGAAACGGATAAAATATTGTATAGATTTCAAAATATCGAGAATGAAATTCAAAATTTACTTATCGTGCTTGTTATATCACATCCCGAGAAGAAAAGTGACACAATTCAAAATACAGAAATTTTGAGGTTAAGTAAAAAATACGTATAAAGTGCCCCATCAAGCTCAAAAATTGTCACAATTCTAACACGTAATCTGAGGGCAGTTGTGTCAGTTTTGTGTCTAACTCAGAATAAATGTTATAGTATTCTTTAGGTAGATTTTTCTTAAATGCTGCATTTTAGAGTTACGACACAGTTCTTGCCGGAGTGCGCTAAGCAATCAAATTTTTTTTAAATTTTCTTTATTTTTTTCTTAGATCGCATAAATAACTGTAAATATGCTTCCATTTCTGTAGTCATTTAAACTGAAATTATTTTTATCTCTATAAGATTTATGATATATACTACTAAATGAGAATGAAAATTCATTATTTAGTTTGGAAATAATTATTCTGATTGCTGGTTACTAACTTTCAAATTTTTATCTGGAATTAGTCTTGCAAATAAGTTATGAATTGAATTATTCCATCTGCTGTAGAAGTTAATTGTTCGTTTACAAAGCTATTTGAATATTCATATGGCTTTGCAAGGAATTGTTGTATGCCTGCAGTAATAAAAAAATATGTATTTTAGAATAACTTTTAAAATTATTGCTTTCAACTGACTTAGAGATAAATTAAAATAGCCCCATAACCATATATGGCAGTACTTTTACTTTCGTTACTTGTACCGCCGGTACAAGTAAAAAGTACGTATACTTTTATGTA